CCCCAAATGGCTGCAATGGCTGGGTTTGGGCCAGGCAGAAACCAGGAGCTTCGTCCATGTCTCCCACATGGCTGCAGAAACCCAGATATTTGAGCCACCCTCCACTGCTTCCTCATGCACATTAATAGGAAGTCAGATCAGAAGTGGAGCTGCCAGGATTCAAACCAGAGTCACAAACAGAGGCTTTAGCTGCTGTGCCACAGCACTGTCTCCTTGGGGCCTTTTTTACAGTACAGCGATACTGAAGTTTCCTCCTTCCTGGAGTATGTGTGAGAGTCAAGTGACTAACAAATGTGTTCATTGGTTGTCATTTGCTTTACAGATTCAAGGATTTACTATAGTCACTTCTTTGTCTCACTTCACAATTTTTTTAAGACTCATTTATTTTTATTGGAAAGGCAGATTTAGAGAGAGAAGAAGAGACAGAGAAAGATCTTCCACCCACTGGTTCACTCCCTACATGGCCACAGTGTCTAAAGCTGGGCTGATCTGATGCCGGAAGCCAGGAGTTCCTTTCAGGTCCGCCATGCAGGTGCAGGGTCCCAAGGCTTTGAGCCAACCTCTACTGCTTTCCCAGGCATAAGTAAGGAACTGGATCAGAAGTGATACAGCCACGACAAGAACTGGGACCCATATGGAGTCCTGCACTTGGATTGAAGTTGAGGAATAGCCAATTGAGCCATTGTACCAGAACCACCTCACTTTTTTTTCCCTTAAAGTTCTCTGAACATTCTTTCATTCACTTACTGGTCTCTCCTGACGTGAAGTGTAGACAATACTATGCTAGATATGGAGGAAGACAAGCAAAGACAAAGATCTCAGCTCCAGTGCAGGATACACAGACATGATTAGCCACAATCCAAGTCAGACTCAGCTGAGCAGTGCTGAGCTACAGGATCACGGGGAAAGAGTAGTTCTGGGTGGGCAGCTTTGTGATACACCTGGTTGAGTCACTGCTTGCAGTGCCAGTATCCCATATGGACACCAGATGCTGGCCCGCACGCCCAGATGCCCACAGTGGACATGACAGCCACCTCATCTGGGCCAACGGGAAATGTCAACTGCCTCCTCCTACTGCAAAGTAGAACAGGTTGGATAATTCGCTGGCCTGCTAACATTTGCAGCATGTTCTTGGGTCTGCAGATGTACTAAGGTAGACTTTACCAACTAGTAGACCTTAGAAATATTTTCTCAACCCTGGAGCAACTAAACTGACAACATCTCAGGGCTACTGAAATCGCTTTCGGTGGTTCTGAGGGTGTTAACACTCTTCCCCACAGCAAGGTCTCTAAGGCATCATCAAAGGACTGTCTCCCATCCTCAGGTGTGAATGTATTTTGGCAGCAAGGAGCAGCTCTCCTCTCCTCCTCCCCTACGGACACAGGAGGAAAAAAAGACTGACACATGTGTCCCACCCCCTCTCGCCATAGCCAACTCTCCCCACCCTAATCCGAGGCCCATATGGGCATATATCCTTCTCAACTATGCAAACAATATTAAAAATAAAATTCAAAAAAGAAAGAAAACTGATTTGTAAAGAGTCTGCAAGAGCAGACTTGTGGGAGACCAGACTGGAGGCTCCCTGCCATGGCCAGAGGAGATGATGGAGCTTGTGATAGTGGCTGTACAGGTGGATAAGCAGGGAACAGAGCCGAGCAATGTGCAGGAATCTGGGGTTGTATATCATGGGGCCTGGGGGAGGGGCTGTTTACAAGGGAAGAGGCCTGTTTCGGAGGAGCTAATCTCGAGGGAGGAGTGATGAGTTCAGTTTTATTGAGTAGAATTTCAGGTTCCTGGGAGCCACCAGGAGGCTGTGTCCATTCCAGAAGTGGAATGACAGTCTTAGAGGAGCAGCCGGGGCTCTGGATACCAGTTTAGGAGTCATTTAGGCAATAATAGAAGCACTAAGCTGCAGTGACACCGCGGGGTGTCCCTGGACCAACAAAGTACAGAGCACCAACCCTGCGTAAACCCCAGCATCCTAATGCTGGGACGGAAGAAGCGCAGCCGGTTGAAGAGACAGGCAAACGAGCAGAACTTACAGGAGTTACAGGAATCCAGAACAGTGTAGACTGTGGATGCCATGGGAAGTGCGTTTTATGTGGAAGGAGGGATAGAGCATGCCCCATGCAGCCATCTAGAGGGACCCAGGAGCTGGCACCAGCAAGCACACGGATGACCTGGGGAGAGAAGTCCCTGCTGAGTGGTGGGAGCAGAACCCCTCCAGGATGGAGCTGCATAACAAAGGGGGACGAGGCGGGGTGGGCAGCAATCAACAATGAGGAGGATGCTTTCGGTATGGACGAAAATAAGGAAACACGAAATACCCAGGTGGGTTTCATAGACCTGAGAGAGCCTGGAGGGGCAAGTGTACACAAGGGCAGATGAACGGTTAGACGATGCTGTGAAGGAAGACACGGAGGGTTTGGGTTTTGGTTTTACAGTTAAGATGGCACAATCCAGATCTGAGTGCTGGGGTCTGTGTCTCAGCTCTGCCCTGGATTCCGGCTGCCTGCTGGAGCACTCCGGGAGGCAACAGCTGATGACGACTGAAGGTCTTGATGCAGGGCTGAGTTCTTAGCAGCCTGCCTGAGCCTGGCCCAGCTCCAGCTGCTGTGCGCATCCAGCGAATGGGATCCAGCGGATGGGAGCTCTGTGTGTGCCTCAAATGACAATCAGAAACAACAAAGAAGATATAGATTATGAATAGCTTTGAATGCAAAGGAGGGAAAACTACTGTTTCATGAGTGGCTTCAATGTCTTTTCATTCACATCGCCACTTAATCCTCAGGTGGGTCCAGTGCATAAGGTAAGCATCCTTGTACTCGCATATCCCATTGGGAAAAGGGTTGCTCAGAGAAGTTAGGAGACTCACAGTTGCATATCTTATAAACCATAGATTCCACTCTCTCTCCCCTAGAGGAAGATGCGGACACCCACTCTGCCAGGTGGGATTACAGGGGTTACAAAGAGTCGTTTAAAAAAATTGTTTATTTATCTATTTTTTTAAAAATAATCTTACTTACTTACAACGAAGAGTCCTTTTATCTAGCTGTGTTTGCCAAAGCAGAGAGAAGGGTGCTCAGAATCCAAAGCCAAGTGCAACAAGGAACTGACTCAAGAGCCAGACAGTTCATTCAGAAGTCAGGCTGCCAGAGCCAAGAGAAGTGTGTCTACAAAGCCAAGGCCCTGCCCACTGGCCATCCCCAAAGCCAAGTTACTCACAGGCAGGGGGAGCCTGAACAAGAGCAGGTGCCTGCAGGTCAAGGCACTGCACCACCAGTGCGCCCCCAGCCAAGCCTCACGCCCTCTCTACCTGGCATCGCAGCCCTAGGGAAGACAAGCAGGCAGGGACAACGGTGTGTGGATGTGTGGAGCTGAAGAGCCTCACAGCTGGACCCTCTTGGAACAGGAATGCAAACACTTGGCAGGGAGGATTCCTCTGGGGCCTTGGGGTTTCAGGGAGATGGTACCGCCCCTCCAGTTCTCACACAGACAGTTTTGCACAGTGCACAATGCACCATGGAGAGGGTTCTGATTTTGTCTTGCACTTGAACAATTACACTTGGAAATAGCACTGTGGCTTAGCCAGTGAAGTTACCACCTGTGATGCTGACATCCCATATGGGCACCAGTTCAAGTCTCAATTGTTCCACTGTCTATCCAGCTCCCTAATGTGCCTAAGAAAGCAGTGGAGGATAGCCCAAGTGCTTGGGCCCCTGGGAGACCCGGAAGAAGCTCCTGGCTCTCCATTTCGGAGAGGCCCAGCCCCAGCCATAGTTGCCTGGAGAGTGAACCAGAAGGCGGACAATGTCTGTCTTCCCTATCTGTGCTTTTTCAAGTCAACGAATAAATCCTTCAAAAATAATAACGAAGAATTACACTTAGCTTGCATCCTGGCAGGGTGGGATGGGGGTGATGGGAAACTCACAGAAAGCAGCATTGGGCACAGAGCCTGGTCTTCCAGTGTGCAGGCAATCAGCTTCTCACTGCCCCACCTGCCCAGCTGCCCACTCACCCTAGGAAGGAATCACCGCGTCTTTCAAAGTGATGAGGAAAGGAGGGCTGGAGCAAAGCAGATTTGGAACTGAAATCCGGGTTGGGTTTTACGGAAATTCAATGCCTGTTTCTGCTATGAGAAAAACACCCACTGATCAGGGCCAGATTCACGGAGGTCCAAGTGGCAGGGCACCGAGTTGGCACAGGTGACTGGGTCTCTGGCCAAAGGCTCCAAGACGCAGGTAGTAGAACGCGCTCTTGGTGGTGCTCCTTGAGGACAACAGGGTGCGGCTCCCAGAATGGGCCCTGGGATACGACAGGTGCAGGCACAGGTGCGCAGGGAAACAGGACAGGGGCCGCTGAGAGTCGGGCGAGGCTCTGCCAGCCCCCGGGGAGGCGGCGGAGCAACGGACCTACCCGGCCGCTGGTGCCGACACCGGCGAGGAGGGACGCGCCTCCAGCAGACAGAAAGGGGCGGCCAGAGCAGGAAACGGGACGCAGAGCCAAGAAACATTTAGGAGCTAGGCTCCTGGAGACCGGGGGCGTCCTGACGTGGGAAGCAGTGGGACGGTGTGCGCAACATCTACTGACAGAAAAGGCGTGGCCCGGGGAGGGGCGGGGAGCCGATCTCAACGTCCCCTGAGGGCTCGCCCCCTGTGCTGAAGACCGCCCCGACGCACGCGCGCGCGAGGGCGCCGCAACCTGCCGCGCCGGCTAACAAAGGCGGGACTACAACTCCCGGCATGCTGGTCGCGCGCGGGTGGGCGGGACCGAGCGCCCGTCACCTCCCCGGGGCCGAGCGGCGGCGGCGGCGGCGGCGGCGGCCGAGGGACGGACGGTGCGCCCCAGCTTCCCTACCCGGCGCCCGGCCGCGCCCGCGCGCCCCGCCCCGCGGCGCCGCCCCTCGCCCCACCCCAGCCGGGAGCCTTCGCCGGGGCCGCAGCGCGGCGGCAGCAACATCACTCCACAGCCGCCGCTGCTCCGCCCCATCCCCTTCTGTTTTTCTCTCTCATCCTCCCGCGGCGGCGGCGGCGCCCGTGGCTGTGGCGCGGGCAGAGGCAGCCGCAGCTGCGCGGGCTGCGATGAATGGTCCTTCGGCGCGGGGGCAGGACCCCAGGTGAGCCTCGGCGCTCGCGAGGGAGGGCCGCGACCCCACAGCCCGGCTCCCCGGTCGCGCCATGGATCCGTAGAGGAAGGAGGCGGAGGCGAAGACAGCTCTGCCGCCCACCCCCCATCCCATTGCTCCCCTCTTCCTTTATCTCATTGTTGCCGCGGCTGTTTACGGCCGCGCTCCCTGCTGCCCTGGGCCATGGGGCGGGCTCCAGGCGCTGCCTCTGGGCCAGCGCTGCTCCCTCGGCTGCCCCGGGATTCTGCTTGATTGTGCCGAGCCAGCCGGTGCAGCGGCGGAGCGGACACGGCCAGCTGCGGCCCGGACTGCAGCAGCAGCAGCAGCAGCAGCGGTAGTAGTGGGCCCCGTCCCCCAGCATCCCCACCCTAGGGGGGCTGCATGTGGGATTAAAGCGCTGCGCCCCCCGGGGTCTGGGCGCCCCCACCTCCCGCCCCGCGGATCCCGACCTAGGGCGCAAGGAGTGGGCAGAGCGCGCAGAGTAGAAGAGTCGAGATGGCCAGTAAGACCAAGGCCAGCGAGGCCCTGAAGGTGGTGGCCCGGTGCCGCCCCCTGAGCAGGAAGGAGGAGGCCGCGGGTCACGAGCAGATCCTGACCATGGATGTGAAACTGGGCCAGGTGACTCTGCGGAACCCCCGCGCAGCGCCGGGGGAACTGCCCAAGACTTTCACCTTTGACGCCGTGTATGATGCCAGCTCCAAGCAGGCTGACCTGTATGACGAGACGGTGAGGCCCCTGATCGACTCGGTCCTGCAGGGCTTCAACGGCACCGTGTTCGCCTACGGCCAGACGGGCACGGGCAAGACCTACACCATGCAGGGCACGTGGGTGGAGCCGGAGCTGCGTGGGGTCATCCCGAACGCCTTTGAACACATCTTCACGCACATCTCGCGCTCCCAGAACCAGCAGTACCTGGTCCGGGCCTCCTACCTGGAGATCTACCAGGAGGAAATCCGAGATCTGCTCTCCAAGGAGCCGGGCAAGAGGCTGGAGCTGAAGGAGAACCCCGAGACCGGAGTCTACATCAAGGACCTGTCCTCCTTCGTCACCAAGAATGTCAAAGAGATCGAGCACGTGATGAACCTGGGCAACCAGGCCCGGGCTGTGGGCAGCACCCATATGAACGAGGTCAGCTCCCGCTCGCATGCCATCTTTGTTATCACGGTGGAGTGCAGCGAGCGTGGCTCTGACGGCCAAGAGCACATCCGGGTGGGCAAACTCAACCTGGTGGATCTGGCTGGCAGCGAGAGACAAAACAAGGCAGGCCCTAATGCAGCCGGAGGGACAGCCTCTCAGTCAGCTGGTGGTGGTAACAATGCAGGTAGCACTGGTGGTGGTGGTGGCACCAGTGGTGGAGAGAGGCCGAAGGAAGCCTCCAAGATCAACCTCTCACTATCCGCCCTGGGCAATGTGATCGCCGCCCTGGCGGGCAACAGGAGCTCCCACATTCCTTACCGGGACTCCAAGCTGACCCGGCTGCTCCAGGACTCGTTGGGGGGCAATGCCAAAACCATCATGGTGGCCACTCTAGGGCCTGCTTCCCACAGCTACGACGAGAGCCTCTCCACCCTGCGCTTTGCCAACCGTGCCAAGAACATCAAGAACAAGCCCAGGGTGAACGAGGACCCCAAGGACACGCTGCTGCGGGAGTTCCAGGAGGAGATTGCCCGCCTGAAGGCCCAGCTGGAGAAGAAGGGGATGCTGGGCAAGAGGCCCCGCCGGAAGAGCAGCCGCAGGAAGAAGGCTGCTTCCGCCCCGGCTGGCTACCCTGAGGGGTCTGTGATCGAGGCCTGGGTGGCGGAGGAGGAGGATGACAACAACAACAACCACCGGCCACCCCAGCCCGTCCTGGAGTCGGCCCTGGAGAAGAACATGGAGAATTACCTGCAGGAGCAGAAGGAGCGGCTGGAGGAGGAGAAGGCGGCCATCCGCGATGACCGCAGCCTGGTGAGCGAGGAGAAGCAGAAACTGCTGGAGGAGAAGGAGAAGATGCTGGAAGACCTGCGGCGGGAACAGCAAGCCACCGAGCTGCTCGCAGCCAAGTACAAGGTAAAGGTCCCAGAGGAGCCTGGGCCTCCGGGGTGGGGATCAAGGCTGGCATGAAGGGAGGACTCTGGGAGGCAGTGACCTGACCCCGGAGTCACGTGACCTCCTGCAGTGTCATGCTGCCCTCCTGGACCAGTTGGGCAGATTGCCGCCCTAGAGGAGTGCCAGGTATGCATACACACACCTGTACTTGTGTGTGTGCGTACATGTACACACAAAACAAAGCAGGCGGGGGGGTCTGACCTGCAGCTCTTGGTCTCAGGATGGGTCAAGGTCAGTGGGATGGCCTGGGCAGGACCCTGGCCTCTCCTGAGCATGTGTCTAGCACAGCCTCATACGCTCTGTAGCATCTTCAGACCTCTCATCATTTTCATGACCCCTGATGGTGGGTAGCATTTCTCTGCTTATGGACCCCTCCACGTGGATGATGTCATCTGGGTTGGCGGTTCTCAAACCCCCATTTGACAGCTGAGATGAAGGTGCAGAGAAGCAGCCAGACTCAGGCTGTATCCAATCAAACTGCACAGCTGAGCTGGAACCCACAGGCCTTGGTCCAGCTCTCTGAGGGGTGGGCAGGACCAGGAACGGAAGGTACTCCCTGTGAAAGTGGTCCCTGGTCCACACAGCGCACCGTGGCTTGGCCTGAGGAGGAATCATCTCTGTGGGGGGTGGCGGGTCTTGGAGGAAGTGGGGTACAGAGAGCCTGGAGTCTAGGCTGAGCTGTTCTCACCCAAGGACCCTGTGTAAGTTGTTCCCCCTCTCCCCAGGCTTTCTTTTCCCTTCTGTGAGATCTGAGGTCTGCTGAGCTAACTCCATGATTTATATTAATCTGAAGAGCAAGTCAGCCAGCTCTCACACCCAGTAATATCCAGTTCTTCATTGCCCCAGGGGTCTCAGGGCCTCAGCTGTGCCCCTCCCAGTGGGAGCCTCCAGGCCCCTAGGTGGGGCTAGGCTGCCTAGACCCTCGCCTGGCTGCTTGTAGACCTGTTTCAGTGCGGCAGATGCTACCACTTGAGCATTCCAGCTCCCTGGAGCCTTCCAGACTGGGGTTAGAGGAAGGCCACAAGGAACCAGGAGTTTGCTGGGAAGAGGCCATCATTGCCATTTTTTATTCCTACCCAGGAGTGTGAGCTGGGGGCAGGGAAGCCTGGCCTGCCACAGCTGGAAGAGTGACAGCTGGGCTGAAAGCATTGTCTGTGCAGTGAGAATGTGCCGCTGTTGCCGCACCGAGGGCTTGGGTCTTGCGTGTTGAATATTTAATTCACCTCAGTGAGCTCAGCCAGGGCTGTGCTGAGCTGCTTCCTCCAGGGAGGGGGGAGTGGGGCCTGGTATCGTTAGGGCCATCCTGGGAGAAGCAGCTGTTAATAGACAGGGCCATCAGAGTCAGCCCTCCCCAGCGTGAAGAGGGAGTCCAAGTGTGCTGGGGTTTGCCACTGGCAAGGCTGACCTGGGCAGTCTATCCTGGGTTCTACTCCCAGAGGCCCCTCCCTCTTAGAGCAGAGCAGTGGAAGCTCTGAAGAGAGCCCCCTGGGGAGTGGGTAGAAGGGGTGGGGTGCCTGGAAGGCTCCCATTGTTGAGAGCTGACTAGCTCCCCTGGGTAAGATTTCTGGGTTGCAAGTCAGCATGGGACACCAATATCTAGACAGTCAAGAGAAAACAGCATCCCACCCACACCAGGATTCTTGCCCTGGAGGTGTGGCCCAGGGAGTGCTGTGGCCTTATAGCCCTATGGCCCATGCCCAGGGCCATGCAGGTGAAATCAGGAGAGCCCAGACTCCTGTACTTGGTCCAGCCCTCTTTCAATTGCTCGTGATAATCAGAATGATTTCTTTTTCTATAAATAACAGTTGGATTTCTCAATTGCATTTAATCCTCCCAGCAACCCCAAGAGATAGGTATGATTGCTTCCATTTGACGGTTATAAAAACAAGGATGGGGAGGTGGAGTGATGCTGGCTGGTAAGTGGCAGGGCCAGGACCAGAACCCAGGTTTTCCGATTCCCGTAGGCCCATGCTCTCTTGCAGGCAGCACGGGGTGCTTCTTGAGGGTTCCCTGGGTGACTCATGGCTTAGGCCTTACCTGACAGCTCCTGGCGAGGGGTGAGATGGTCATTGGGTACCAAGTGTTAGATGTAAGCAAGGGCAGAGGGAGGCCCTGGGGGAATATCCTGGAATGATGCTGGGCCGTGTGACTCCTAGTCACACCCAGCTCCTGACAGTCACAGTGAACAAGCCCGGCCCAGGGACCTCCCTGTGACCCCTGTGGCGTGCCTGGCTCTGAGCTGGCTGCTTGTAGGATGGCTCCAGAGGGACCCTCAGGGCAAAGCAGGAAGGAGGAAATAGTCCCAGACCTCTTCTTTCCTGGCTTGTGCTACAGATGAAATGAGATCAGGAGCATGAGGCCATTAGAAATGAGCCAGAAGATCCACATAGACGAAAGGTGTCAGCAGCCACAGGGCGGCTTCTGTCTTCCAAGCAGGTGTCTTGTGATGGCCACGTCAGGAAACTGTACTAGCCTCGCTGCTTCCTCACCTGCCAGTCCTGGCTGCCTTGCTGTATCCCTGTCCAGGAGCAGAGCCAGACATGAGCCCAGGAGACCTTGGAAACAGGAGCTTGGAGCCCTTCTAGTGATGAGCCAAGCTTTTGCTCCACAGCTTCAACTTGCTGCTGGTCCTGGGCTCTGGGATCTACTGCACTTGTTGCTGGCTCCAATCCCCTGGAGGGGATAGGGATGAGCTGACTGGGAGCTTATGTGACCCAGTGTCCTCATTGCCTATCTGACTCAGTCTGTCTCTATGCCTCTCTATCCGCCGCCTCTCAGTCTGCCTTGCTCTTGGTTCGCCCCTCACTGTGTGCGAGGCCCAGCTCTTGGATCCTCCCTTCCTCTGCCTTTCCTGGTCACCCCGTTGATTGTGGCCTTCAGGGGGCTGGAGGATGTGCAGGTGTGTACACATTTGTGGCCAAGGTCAGGGCTCTGTTTCGGATTTACCGTTAGCCAGCCAGCTGTGGAAGTGTCTCTGAGGGCTGAGGGGCCGTAAGGGAAGAGGAGCACGGGGTGACAGCACAGACCCAGAATGCCCAGGAGAAGCTACGATCTTGGGTAGCATTCAGAGAAAACAGCTGAGTTCGAGCACAGCGCACATCCTGGGAGGCACGCTGGTGAGTGTCTGCAGTTTGGTTAGGCGAAGGCCTGCTTGGTTCAAATTTAATTATGCAAGAACTTTTTTTTAAAGGTTTCTTTTATTTATATTGGAAAGGCAGATCAGATTTTCTCTTGCACAACCAGAGAAAAAAGAGACAAAGATCTTTCATCCGCTGGTTTACTCTCCAAGTATCTATAACTGGCCAGAACCGAGCCAATCCAAAGCCAGGAGCCAGGGGCTTTTTCCTGGTCTCCCATGTGAATACAAGGGTCTCAAAGCTTTGGGCCATCTGTACTATTTTCTCAGGATACAAGCAGGGAGTAAGATGTGGAGCAAGCAGCCAGGACATGAACTGGTACTGATATGGGGTCTTGGCACTCGCTAGGGGAGAATTAGCTGATTGAGCCATTATGTGGGGCCCAACAAGAATTTTATTTATTTTTTATTTATTTATTTTTTTAAGATTTATTTTTATTATTTTTTTTATTGGAAAGGCGGATATACAGAGAGGAGAGACAGAGAGGAAGATCTTCCGTCTGATGATTCACTCCCCAAGTGAGCGCAACAGCCGATGCTATGCCAATCTGAAACCAGGAGCCTCTTCCGGGTCTCCCACGCGGGTGCAGGGTCCCAAGGCTTTGGGCCGTCCTCGACTGCTTTCCCGGGCCACAGGCAGGGAGCTGGAAGGGAAGCGGGGCTGCCGGGATAAAACCGGCGCCCATATGGGATCCCGGGCGTGCAAGGCGAGGACATTAACCACTTGCGCCACCGTGCTGGGGCCCAAGAATTTTATTTTTTTTAAGATGACTGCTTTAGGACCACATATTGTGGCACTGTGGGTTAAACTGCCACCTAGGACACCTGCATTCCATGTCAGAGTGCCTAGAATTGAGTCTTGGCTTCCCCACATTTTTTTGTTAAGATTTATTTTATTTTTATTGGAAAGTTGAGAGGAGGCGAGACAGAGAGGAAGATCTCCCATTCGATGATTCACTCCCCAAGTGACTAAAACGGCCAGTGCTATTCTGATCCAAAGCCAGGATCCAGGAACTTCTTCCAGGTCTCCCGCATGGGTGAAGTGTCCCATATGGGCGCTGGTTCTAATCCTGGCGGCCCCGCTTCCCATCCAGCTCCCCGCTTGTGGCCTGGGAAAGCAGTCGAGAACGGCCCAAGGCTTTGGGATCCTGCACCTGTGTGGGAGACCCAGAAGAGGCTCCTGGTTTCGGATCAGCATAGCATCGACTGTTGCACTCACTTGGGAAGTGAATCATAGGACGGAAGATCTTCCTCTCAGTCTCTTCTCTGTATATCCGCCTTTCCAATAAAAATAAAATAAATTAAAAAAAAATGAATTTCGATTTTTGTTTTTTTGAAGTAATGGATTAGCTGATTTCTAAAGCTTTGAGTCTAGCTACTTCAAAGAAAAGGAGTGTTTGGGAAAAGCACTCACTGAGGAAGGCACACAGTGCAGGCTTGAACCCAAGGAGAGAAGGGGCTAGGGAGCAGAGCAGGGGGCCTTGGCTGGAGCCCCAGCAGTGATGTGTGTGCGTCTCATATATAGAGCATGGGAGAAAGAAATGGGAGGCAGTCACTGCAGGGAGCATAAGCCACACTGGATTATTGTTGTCCCTGTGGGTCCCTCTTCTTCCTCCCACCTCTCAACATGGACATGAACCATCCCCGAGGATGCAGGAGAGAGAGTCTGAAAGCTAAGCGACAATAGCAATAAAAGTAACATTTTCCTAACACTCGCTTTGTGCCAGGCATGTTACTATGTAGAGACTCATCTAATCCAGGCAAGCACCCTCCAAGGGAGATGTTATTGTTTCCATTTTATGGGAGAACCAGCTGCAGCCTGTGG